TGAGCTGATTTCACTTCCTTCGCTTTGGTATTCTTCTCTGCTGTGTTACTAGAACCGCGAGTGGTAGAAAGCAATTTCTCGAACTTCCGTATTTGTCTGTCCTTGCATTGTTTACCTTGAGCTGATTTCACTTCCTTCGCTTTGGTATCTAGTAATTCGAATTCAGCAGGCGAGAGTGCGGACTGAAGATCATGGTTGAGACGACATGCGCGGTGGCGGATATCAGTTAAACGTTGGGTGGTTAAATGGATCCTCTGTTTGAGGAATGACTTGGCCGCTGAAGAAGCAATTCGAGCAGAAGCGGGGGGCGCATCTGGTGGCTTAACAACCGGAGATTTGGGAATTATGTTGTGCTTCATGCATCTAATGTTGAAAATGCGATGGTTCTCCCAGTTTGCCTCCAATCTCGCCAACCGAACATATTCACTTGACAGCTTCCGAACACATGGCCCGTAGATGTTTTCAATCAATTGGTTCCCTGACTGCCTTAAAACCCCAATCAACCTACTTACTTACTCACTTGGCCTGACGAAGCTTTTGTGTCAAAAGCGAAACGGTGCCCAGCAATAAATCCACCGATTGTTTACCAAACCCCTCTGAAACGATGACTTCCCAATCGGTCCCAAACATTTTCCAATTGATTGAAAAGCACCGCTGCACCCTTTTTTCACTTGTGCCTTTCAAGTGAACGACAGCCGCCGAATCCGTGCATATGCCTTGCACCCACAAAGTGTAAGGTCATGCAGTCACTGAACACGTCACTTACAACCCAGGGAGAGGCACTTTAGGTTGTATAGCGTTTTACGTGTATTGGAAGTTGTATTAGTTCGTAATGTAGTGTGACAGATGATGTCAATCTGCGAATTTGCAAGGCTCGGCTCGTCTTTGTTGATTCGAGACACCTACGACGCCAAAGCGTCATGTCCGTGAATCTCAAAGGACGTTTGTATCAGGCTGCAGTATGGGATCTTGTTCTATAGCCGAGACGCCCTGAACTGAAACGGTTTCAGGTCTTCAACAACCGTTGTCTCAAAACCATAGTTCATGCAGGTCGGTGTCGTTTAATCCGTTACCGGACAATTAGAAAGCGAGTGTTCTTGTCTTCCATTGATGACAGTTCAGCACCATAAGCTGCGTTGGTTAGTCCATGTATTGTATATACCGAACCACAGTTTGGGGGCGAGATGAATTAGTGGTTAGAGCATGAATTTACTGACCGGAAGGTCCCTGGTTCGAACCCGACTTCTGACTCTTGACTTCCTCTGTCTAGGCTTGGGCAACCTGGCAGTATCCCAGCCTACATTCTTGCTTTGGGTGGCATGGAAGCTAGGAAAAGTGTTACAGTTGAACTATTGTTTTTATTGTTGAACCACCGTTTACAGAAAAGAGTGCTGTTTCTTGTGCCCTATAATGAGTGGCGGAAAAAAAGAGGTGATCAATTTTTAGCATGGTAGAAAGGTTTAAAAGAAATTACAAAAGTCTGGGTGATATCGGTGCGGCACTCCTTCCAGGACCGAGAACGCATGGTTCCCAATGCGTTTCGGAGACAATGCAAGTTATGTCTGCTAATCAATACCATTGATGTTCTTGTTGTCAATTTCCATCCAGACTTCCTGAATAAGTGTCGAGAGTGTCCGTGTGACCTCCGAATTACTCTTGTAGGCTAGGACTAAGTTCATCCGCCGTCCACTTTTATTCTTTTTTTACAATAAGACTTTAAAATGAATTATGTTCGTACGTCAGCGAAGCATCAGTGTTAAACACTGATTTTGTGCTTTCGATGGTGATGGTGATCAGGTTCGTGGAATACCAGGAGGCCTTGGCGTCTACGTACCATCTGAAGCTGGTGACTTGCTTGTAGCTAGATGGGAGCTCTAGAAAGGTCAAAACACTATTTACTAGCGGGTGGAAGAATAACTTTCCGGCATTATCACACAGATGTCTTGGGAGTCACCGAAGAAGAAGCACTTCAGTTTTGTCTGGGACCATTTCCAGACGAACCTGTCTACGTTGTGCTAGCCCCTCACTTCGAAGGACAATGTAGCCGCCGTTGAGGCGCGATTTGGATGCATGAACAATTTGACTCCCGAATATGCCCTAGATACGTCTTGGGAAACTCTTGGCCAACGGAACACCGGTAGGTCGCACAAGCTATAGCAATATACGAGTCGACTGAATAAATCTATAAGTGGACCGTACGAATCTCCTCTAATCCGCAGTGCAAATAAACAGCCGCACCGGATCCTCACCCATAGCAACCTCGAACCGGAGAAAACAGAGGGCTTACCGTCGCTGAGGTCCGAAGTGGGTCAAGTAGTGGAAGACATTTTGAATGAGTGCCATTGCTAGCTCACACGTACTCCTTGGCCTATCACACTCCAGAACCCACAAATAAAAGATAATAATCGTTCAGATGTAACACTTTCAGTGCCTAGCCGCCATGCCACCCAAAGAAAGCACGAAGGCTGGGATACTGCCCGATTGCCTAATCCTGAATATGGGAATTTGAGAGGGAGAAGTCGGGTTTGAACCATGGACCTTCCGGCCAGTAAACCCGCGCTCTAACCACTGAGCCATCAGAACTCGTACAGTCCTTTGGTCGATTGGAGACGAAAGTAAACGCGAAACAGCTGATTCGCCTGCGAATTTAACGAGATTTTGTCACACTTAGACAAACGAAAAACTCCTGAGTCAGATGAGTTCCATCCATTGATGTTGTACTAGCTACCAAGCGTTTTTGTCCCAGTTTTCACCATATTCTCTAACCGATGAGTGAAAGAAGGCATAGTACCGGCGAATTGGAAAGAAGCCGTCATTATTTCGTGACAAGGTCGTGACAAGCACGACTCGACCAGTGTCAGCCTGACTTCAGTGATGCGGAAAATGATGAGGGATGAGTGAATGGGCTTCTTGAGCAGCACATTGTAGGCATCAGCATCTGTAGGCGTCAGACGGGGTGACTTTTCTCCAGAAAATCAATTCCCCGCCATCTTTGATATATTGGATACCAGAATTTCTGGGAGGTCACTACTACAGGGTTAAGGCGAACGGAAAACCTAAACAATTAACGGTGGGCAGTCGCTGGTCTCATCATCATCATCATCGGGGGGCTTAGGCTTAACACAATCATTCCGAGGTGCCTACACCTCCAGACATTCACTCAGACAGTCTGGATAGAAACTGACAACAAGCACAGCACACACATCGGTTGGCAGCCATATCTTGTAATGTCTCCAACCAGGCACAGTGAGCATCACGCGGTCCCCATCCTGGAAGGCGAGTAGCACCGACAGCACCTAAGCGTTTCGTGATCTCCTTCATACTCTGCCAAGTCAAGGGATGGCCACCTCTCTGTTTACGCCACTCTGAATTGGGCATGGAAAACAGCACTCTTCGGCAAACGATGGTTCGGCATACGTAACACATGTCCCAACCAACGCAGCTTCTGGTGCTGGACACGTTCTTCAATGGAAGTACCCGTTACACAACCGAAAACACGCTTTCTAACTGCCTCGTTACGGATTCGCTGACACCAACCCACACGAGCTATGGTTCTGAGACAACGATTGTCGAACACCTGAAGACGTCTCAGGTCCGCTGCTCGAATAGGCCAAGTCTCACAGCCATACAACAAAACAGCCCGTACTGTAGCTTGATACACACGTCCCTTCAGATTCAGGGATAAACCATTCTGACGCCATAGGTGTCTCAAGTTAGCAAACGCGGCCCGAGCCTTGCAGATTCGTGCATTCACCTCATCTGTCACACTGCAATCAGAACTAATACAACTTCCAAGGTACGTAAAACGCTCCACAACTTCCAGTACCTCTCCCTGGATTGTAAGGGGCGTGTTCAGTGACTGCACGTCCACAAGCATGACCTTACACTTTGTGGGTGCAAAATGCATACCAAAGGACGGGATGACTTTGGTCAGTTCATCCAAGAATACTTGCGCCTTCTCCTCCTCTTCGAACATGAGAACGATGTCGTCTGCATATTCCAGATCGACAAGGTTTTCTTCACTGGCTATTTGAACACCAGGGTTTTGGAGACCCTCCAGCGTTCGTCTCATTATTTCATCGATCACAAAGTTAAAAAGGAATGGAGAGAGTGGGCATCCCTGACGGACACCGCTTTGTGTGCGGAAGCTTTTGGAGAGCTCTCCGTACACTCTCACACGTCCGGAAGTCTGAGAATACAAAGAACGTATTATGTTTACAAACTTCCGGGGCATTCCTTGGTGGGCAAGCGTCTCAAGAAGAACAGACCGATCAACCGGGTCGAATGCGCCTCGGAAATCCAGGAATACTATAATCGTGGGTCGCTTATACGTATGGTGTTGTTCTAGCACCTGACGCAGTGTGAAGATTTGGTCAACACAACCCCTACCAGGCCGGAATCCCGCTTGCTGCTCTCGGGTCAGCATCTCACGGGCCACCGTAAGGCGACGAAGCACAATTGACGCCAACAGTCTCGTTACAACCGGGGTCAAGCTGATCCCCCTGTGGTTACCACACTCACTACGCGCCCCTTTTTTGAAAATGGGCACTATCACCGATTCTCCCCAGTTGTCTGGGACAGACTCCTTTTCCCAAATGCAAGCAAACAGATCGGACAAGCGCTGACTGAGGACTTCACCCCCGTCTTTGTACGGTGCGGGTGGAAGGTCATCCGGACCGGGAGCTCGGTGGCGCTTGAGAGAACATATGCAGTCGTAAACCTCCGAGGCCGTAGGTGGTTCCACGTTCACCGTCCAGGGTCTATGGCATCCTTAATGGGTATCACACTGTTCAGGATCCACGTGAGCAACTTACCTCGCAGGCTGGAGCAATAAAACATAATGTCGTAGCTGTGAAGTGCGCGGTAGAGGCCAAACCATCGGCCAACCCAGCCAAATATCAGGGCCTGCACATTAACAAAACATTAAAAAAGCATCGTATTTCGTGCTATGAGTATCGTTACTCCAAGAGATCTCATGACCAAGACGCCGCCAGAGCAGCGTGCAAAGGCTATAGAATTTTTTTGGACGTTGTGACACTCGATCGCACGTGGGATCACGGAGGCTGTGCCGAAACTACTGGCGGAATTTATCCGCCCTGTCATGGAATACGATGCGCTTGCTTATTTCTCGTGTACGGTAGATAAGGGTTTGTATTGGAACGAGTGATCTAATGAAAAGTAACGATCGTTCAGCTGTAAAATCCTTTTAGTGCCTAGCTTCCCTGACACCCGATGGAAACACGAGGACTGATATACTGTCAGGTTGCCGACGCCTATACATAGGCATTCCGGATGCCGGGGTAAGGCTTCGAACCACAGACGTTCCTGTCAGTAAATTCGCGCCTTAGTCACTTAGCTACGAGATCGAACGAGTACAAAGAATCATATCGGAAATGAAACGTCTCAGCCATATTGATGAGTGTCTAGAGTTTGACTTGTTTTTACCTCAAATACCGCTTTACTCGCATAGACCTCACCTCCATATTTGGGATCTAGGGATGCCGAAGATTCCGCTGGCGGCCTCGTCATCTTTGCCTGGTTACAGGGTAAAGACGACTACATGGGGTACAAAAGACGACTACATGAGGTACAAGCTTGAAAAGCCCAGGTTTCAGAGGGCAATATCGGTGTTATGCTCGTCTTTCAGAGCATAACGTCCTGAAAAGTATCCTAGTGGCACCTTTGTCTAAAGCTTTTAGACGCTTGCTTGATGAGTAAATGCGAGACGACTCCAAGCTTGGCGGTGCGAGACGGACCGAGTGGTATGTACCCTGACACCCCATCAATCTGATGAATTAACCATTATCTGGTTTGGTGTAAACGCATGGTGGGGCTTACTTGGACGTCTGAGTCGTCTGAACGCTTCCTCGTGAAGCATGGCTTCAGACTGTTGGCCGACAACGGCCATCCTTGTTTGGTAACGAGCCAATGGCTGGTCGAGACATCTTATTCCAAAGTTGAATACCGCAGGAAACCATGTTACCGTTATAGCCTCTTGGGGTTTGTGAACCCCATTTGAGTTCACCTTATCCATTAGTGTCATAAAATTGTCCCCCTTCTCTCAATCTTTGGTATCGGTATGCAATCCTTATCAGTTTTCGACGCCTGCGATATGCAAATCCTCCCAGACAGTACGGTTGTAGATATTGGGTATGCCGACAATCTAGTTCTACTCGGATGGGAACTCAGAGCTACTGATTCAGCTGTGAAATTTAGCGTTTATCTCACACCCCAAGGTGTCATTGCAACGTTGACTCGTACCCAATCCAAACCTTCTGTTTTCCCTGTTCACCTGGACATCTGCATCAATTTGTGTAAAAATTGCCCTCCGAATATTGGAATCTGAGTGTTTTTGCTAATCTATGAGATATGCGTTGTCTGTCAACTTCTGGGTTTGCAGCCATTCGTGCTGTTATACGGGTCAGAACCTGGCAGCTGCGATCTGGGAACGTTGGAAAGCTTTCGCTTTTGACTTCCGATGTCCTCGAAGCATTTTGCGACATTTCGTTCGGATATTTGACCACAATCATAAGCCACTTCTAAGGGTTCTTCTGGGCGGATCCCGCACCGAAACCGCTTTACCGCTCACCCTTAGGTGCTGCTACGGTCAAGAAGTCTGTCCCGCACGCGATTGACCAGAAGACGGGCTGCTTGCCGGTCCAGCATCAAGGCGAGCTCTAATAAACCAAAAGTGTGGACCCAACAGCTAATCATGCTGCAGTATTCGCCCAATGCCGGTTGACAATGGAGCATCTGGAAGGCGTCGGGATTCCTGAAGTGTTGTCGTCGCATACACTGCGCTGTACGACCATTTTTGACATGGTTTGGGGCGTTAGTACAGATTCACTTTTGGTGTTTTTTGACGAGAATTCTAGCTTGGAAGGTTCAGGTCGGGAACTAAACTGAGGCATACCGTAATTACAGGCATTTAGTTCTGTTCAGTCTATCAACTATAAACCAAGCGCCAAGGGTGTGTTGGCTCCAACTGCTGCATTTTCGGTCACCGGAAATTGGGAGATACTGTAGCGTTGGAGGCGATAGAATAGTGGGCCAATTCGGGGAGCTAGGCATCAAACGCAACACCTTTGGTGCACGAGCACCACTTAGTACGTGGTCAGTCTATGTCTATCAGTATCATTAACGACCGGTGAGTTCATTGCATGTGTGGCCATCCTGAGAGGCGGAAGTTGTCGGCCAAACTGGGTTTACTGGTTAGTCTTACCTTCCTTTCCAGGTCATAGACTGTCCACCTCCCAGTCGTTTTCATTTGGCACAGCTGACCGAAAACAATTCTTCGAGGCAGACGATCCACTGGCGTGCGGAATATATGTCTTAGCCAACGTAACCTGTGAAGTGTGACTAACTCATCCATCGTGGGAGAGGTTCTCCTGCTAAAATCCATCTGGTGCACCTCAGCATTATTGAACCGATGTTCCCACTAGACCGGGTCAATGGTTAAGAGACAGTAACAGCTTTCGTGGTCCTCTCTAAGTAGCAGTCACACTTCTGATTCTTAAACACAGTAAATCGCACCGTCACCCTGGCACCATAGGTGTTGGAGGTTGTCAAAAGCTGTCCTGGTCTTCCCGACTCGAGAAGTAATATCGTCTTCATTTAGCCCACCGCTTCTTATAAAACTACCCAGATAGACGAATTTACCTGCAAGCATGAGGTTTGGATTCGATCCCACCTAGTCTTGTATCAGCACTTTGCAAGTGCGGAGCGCATACCAAACAGTGCGACAGAATTATCTAAGTTATTTAAAATGACTTGTGTCTTTCAAGACTAAACCAAAGACAGCAATATATCCACACGCTCAAAGTCTGAGCGAACACCCCGGGAACATTTCGATCCTCGCCATTTCAGGGGTAGGCATAATCAATTTGAGCAGTGCGTCAGTAACAAGGTTGAACGGAAGTGGTGAGAGAGGGCAACTCTATCCTACACGAGTGGACGTGGTGAACTCTGACCTGATCTAGTTGTGAAGTCGTGCGCGCCCACCGGAAGGGAATAAAACAAGACATATTTCACTCAGTATTGCCTCTGCTAGACAGGGCGTAATAAGGGACCGTGTGATTTCCGGTTTCAGTTACAAAACGGCATGCATTTTGGTCGCAATTCCTCTTTCGCATAGGATTGTTTCAGTAGAGGATAGTTTTTTTTCGAAATACTGATACCTGAGTAAGCGAAGAATAACACAAATGGCGCTCGTGGATCTAATCTATTGCCTTCAGTGGATAGCTCCCTTCCCAAGTCCCCCACTGAACAGTCCACTGACTGTGCTGCATTCATGCACTCATTTATCAGCTCCCGTCTCCAATGTGCAGCTCCCTACCCCACCCCCAAAATCATTGGTGAACGAAATTGTGGCAGCTGCAGCCACTGTACGGGAAGCACGCCTTTCTTACAATGATGATGAACAACATTTCGGTGCCTAGCTGCCAGGCCCCATAGAGGAAGCACGAGCTCTGGGATACAGTCAGATTGCCCAGGCTTAGACAGGGGAAGTCGAGAGGCAGAGATTGGGTTCGAATCATTGATATTGCGGTCAGTAAATTCACGCGCTAACCACTGAGCCATCTTGCCCCCCCCCCAATAGGCTGAGTTGTACTCTTGGCCTCAACCCGATTGAGAACCTGTGAAACATGCTACAGTGCTGACTTCCCTTAACGTAATTCAGCATCCATTTATATAGCCCTGGGCTTGAAGTATCCTACAGCAAGGACCGCTTTTTGGCCTGAACCAACTAACTGTATTTATTTGCAACAGTAGCATCAGAGGCGGGCAGTAAAAACGAGGAAATCGATTAATCATATGAATGTGAGAAAGCGCCCCAATTTTTTTAATCGAACAGGGCAATTGTATCGCATCTAGAAAAAACAGATGGTGACAGCCACAATTAAACCCATTCAGGTCATTATGGAATATTGGTCTATCGGCTACGTCCTCTCCGATGATCGGCTGTCTGGCCTACAAGCAGTGAATCTAACCGTGCATTTTCACACGTGATACCAGTGAATGCTCTACTAATTATTTGGTTGAGTCGGTAAAACATGAATATGCGAGAGGAATTAAGACCACTGGATGGATAAAGATGTGAGCTAAACCACTCGTTATTACATTATGGGAAGTTTGGATACATCATGTTCTAACTTGGAACGTTAAACTTCTAGTTTTCTGAATGAACTACATTCATTCTCGAACCCTATGTGAGTCATCGTCAGCACAACGTCAATGTTCACCAGTGATGCTTCGCTGTCGTACGAGTTTATTTCACATCTCGATGCCAGACCATTGACTGTCCACCTTTCCTTCGCTTCTGCTCAGCATAACCATCATCATCGTCGACAGCATGACGTCAGTGTTCAACACCGATGCTTCACTGTCGTACGACCATGATTTATGTGAAAGCCTTATTGTAAAGAAAAGAATAAGGTGGACGGGAAAGGGACTTAGTGCTATTTTACCACAATCATTCCGAGGTGCCTACACTTCCAGACATTCACTCAGGCAATCTGGATAGAAACTGACAACAAGAACGCCACTGACATCGGTTAGCAGCCATATCTTGTAGTGTTTCCAACCAGGCACAGTGAGGATCACGCGGTCCCCATCCTGGAAGGCGAGTAGCACCGACAGCGCCCAAACATTTCGTGATCTTCATACTCCTCTGCGAAGTCAAGGTTGGCCACCTCTCTGCTTACACCATTCTGAATAGGGAAAACGATGGTTTGGCATACGCAACACATGTCCCAGCCAACGCAGCTTCTGGTGCTGGGCACATTTCTCAATGGAAGTGCACGTCTTATAACCGAAAACGCGCTTTCTAACTGTCTCATTACGGATTCACCGACACCAATCCACATGAGCTATGGTTCTGAGACAACGATTGTCGAACACTTGAAGACGTCTCAGTTTCACTACTCAAATAGGCCAAGCCTCACTGCCATACAACAAAACAGCCCGTACTGTAGCTTGATACACACGTCCCTTGAGATTCAGGGACAAAAAAAGCACTACGATGCGGATGTTTCTCTGGCGTGCAAAGTGCATGTCCTAACCAGCATAACGTCATCTCCAGAGACTGCAACATCAGTGTAGACACTGAAGCTTTCCTGCCGTATAGCCACAAAGTTCATCGGATCCTATTTGATGACTTGGAGTGGAAGGAAGGGAGTGGAGGGAGGGGGTGTTGCTAGCCTACCGGAAGTGTTCTGAGGTACTTACATCTCCAAATGCTCAATCAAAATCTGGAGAGAAAGTGACAGCACGAACGCCACTGACATCGCTTGCCCGCCATTTGCAATGTATCCAACCGAACTCTGGGGGAGTGGTCACGGGGACCCTGTCCTTGGAGGCGTACCGCACCGACAACACCTGAGGTCTGTCACACTTCTGCCAATTAATGTGTTATTCTCACAGTTTGCGCTACTTTGAAGTAGGCACCGGGAATATCACTCGTCTCCGCAGACGATGTTTCGGTATGCGTAGCACGTGATTGAGATACCGCAGTTTATGGTTAATGATGTTTTCCGCGAGTGGATTACCCACCACATAACTAACCACCAGTTTCCCAATTACCGCGTTGAGGATTTGTTGACACCACCTGACGCCAGCAACATTTCTGAGGCACCGGTGGTCAATAATCTGAAGACGCAGAGGCCATGTCTGGCAACCATACAACAATGCAGTCCTTACTCAGGTCTGGTACGGGCGAGACTGCTCAGTAGTTGGAGCGGAAGGTCCGCGGTTCGATCGAGCCCTCTGCCTCTCGACTTCCCCTGTCTAGGCTTGAGCAACTTGGCAGTGTCCCAGCTCTGGTGCTTCCTTTGGCAAGCATGACAGCTGGGCGCCGAAAGGGTGTTACAGCTGAGCGATTAAATTATTATCTAGCCTGGTACACACGACTCTCAAGACCCATTGATATGCCTTTTTGACGCCACAAGTGACGCAAATAAGCAAACCTGATTCGGACCTTTGAGATTCGTGCACTGACTTCATCGGACACACTACCGTCAGAGCTAATACAACTATCGCCCTATGTAAACATTTCCACAACCTCCAGTGCTTCTCCTTGAGTCTGGGGGGGGGCACGTTGAAGGGTTACATGTTCTGAGGCAATGCTTTGCACTTTGAAGGTGCAAGGCTCGTGTTGAAAGATGGTATGAAAGTGGTCAGGTTATTCAACAGGGCTTATGCTTCGTCTCTGTCTTCAGAGGTGAGGACGATGTCGTCTGTATACTTTAGATCGACAACTTCCAAACCAGCAACGATTTGACTACCGGGGCTTTGAGATCTTTCAGCGTTCGCCTCATCATTTCATCAGTGATGAAGTTGTACAAGAACAGAGAAAGTGGACATCCTCGTCGGACACTTTTCGTATGGAAGTATGAAGTATGTGACCGGGACGGGATTGTGTTCACAAACTTCTTGGACATATTCTATTAAGCATTTTTTCGGCCTTTCGGGTCCCCCAAGGTTCCGGGGCTTCACGGACATTTATTTGTACTTGACATCAGATGATGTGTCGAGTTAGGGTGTGGCTACGGCCAGGGGGGATCTGTAACTGGGCCACAGTCCCATCAGCTATCTACTGTTTGGATGTGGTTGGCTGGGATGTACAGCATCCAAAAGTCCTGGACTTGCGTAGCGCTTTGAATATCTGTTTCTTGTGGCCGTCATTATACGACAACAAACTCTCTGGGAAGCGTTGGAAGAGCTGGTTCTGATAGGACTGTTTGATTTATCGGTCCACGAGCTTCTCAGTGGTTAAGCGAGATGTGCGCGTTTTGCGTAGACCTGAAAAGAGTAATGAATAGAAGCAGCGGACAAGTGCATTGTCGGAGTCTACGAGGGTTTTCCAGAAGGAGCGACACTCAGTGATCAACCCTGGCCACCGGAAACTAATGAAAATGTGGTCTATTTGGATTTGGGGTTAGTTTATTGGTGGGAACCACGTTGCCAAACGATTTCCGCTGTTTTAGAAATTGTTACCGAAGGGAGCATGCTCTTCTCCACATGTCTTTGTTTGGCTTGACCAATAATTCGGCTTGGTGTACGCGCTTAGCTTCTTCCCTCAGGACGTTTCCTACCTCCTGTTCGTCTTTAGCTAGGCATCATAATTCTCATTAGTAACCAATCCGGTTAAAAGGGTCTACTATCAATGTATTTATTCATCATATTGCTCTGGTATATCACTCACGTCATTCAGGCGTATGGAGTATCAAGATTAACCGCTGGATATTAGACGGGTACCCCGTAGCGTTTACATTACTACGACCTCCTACGAAGATACCTCCTTGAGGTAGAATACAGTAATTTCGTGTAAAAGTTTATTTGGGACCGATGATTGCATTCTCATCGTTCCGTTAATGAGCTTCAAACACTTTTTTAATGGATCTCTCGGAATTTCAATCGCTTTTTCTATATTAAGTGTAAGCCAGCAATCTCTTTTATGGAGAGGAAATTGGCATTCCGTAACGCGTGCTACCATTGGATGGTAGTGATACCGAAGGACTATCATTTCCAGCATTGATTTGGCACAATTTTTAGTTATGGATGCACTCGCCTAAGCGGCTTTGTGTGATTAACCCCGACCGCAGTTAACTACTGGGTGGTTGGTCTAATCCCCACAGAAGCCTCCTTATTTTATACTCAGTTATGTGGCTGCTGCTGATCTTCTATTCTTTTCAATTTACCAGGTGACCCCCTGTGTACCACAACACTCAAGTGTGTGCATAGCACTCGGATTGTATTTGCATGTCCTTGTTAGCTGCACATGCACCGACACAAGCCACTTCGCCTGATACCGAGAACCCAGACTCCCACCATCCCCTCGACAATTTGAAGATGTTCGGGGACACTCATGAGGAAAATACACCCTTGCTGGGTGGTGACCATGAGCAAACTAGCTCTTCCTCATACCAACCAATCCTGCATAATAACAATGACGACCCGCACTACCATCAAATTTTGAAGAAGGCTCTTCACGCGATTGAATGTGGTGTCTACCCCGAGCGGATCTATCAAGGTTCGAGTGGCAGTTATTTTGTAAAGGATGTGGATGGAGTGAGTACGGACTTTACCAACACTGTTTGAGTTCTCTACTCTCAGAACCTTCCTTTATCAATCTGCAGAATCGCATTCACTTTTCAAATTGACAGTTAGTGTAGCCATCTTTCCTCCCAACTTCTATCAGGCACTCTATAAGTTTAACTGTATTCTTGATGACTTCAAATCTGGCCTCTATAAGTCCAAGTACCTTCGAACCAACAAGAAAGCTCTAATACACATTACTGAATAGTTGCATTTTGGGTGCTGGTGCATACCGGGAGGCAGCACACCATGTGCTGTTGACAGTATAACAGATGCAACTGAAGCGTTTCGAATTCATATACGAATGAATGCAATCCTCAGTAGATTCAGAGAAAATAATTTGCGACTAACCACTTTTCGGTCAAATTTCTGGTTGGTATGATTGTATAGATCATGTAACTCCCTGGGTTACTAGTTAGCGGCGATGAGCTGTTTAATTGGTTGACTCAAGATGTCGGTTGGTACGACTCACCGATCCGCTTGATTGATCAGTGCTGTACCAACTGCGCTACCAGAGACACCCTGCATCGTAGTTATGTACTTCCACAGCTGACGAGACGATGACATTGTCAAATCATTTTATACGGAGGGTCGAGTTGTCTGAGTGTCAGCAGCTGGACAGAATAAGACTTACATCCACCGGGTGTGTATATCGTCTAGTGAGTGCTTGATTCAGAAACTGTTAAAGAGTCACTTGCTCAATTTTTCCAATCAGTCCCAAATTAAGAGTCTTTTTTTGTCCGAGCTTGTCAGGATCCAACCTGTGTGAAGGGAATTCCGTCAGTCATTCCTCTCTTGTTATGCGTACTTGGGCTTCTCACTTCAAGACTCACCGAATGTCCTTCTGTCTGTTTTACGAACTTTTGCCGGTTGCTTCAGATTTAGCGTGCAAAATACTTAGAGATAGCCGGTTTTTGATTGACCTCTGTACGTCTACCACCAAGTACCAATTTGGTTGCTTACCCCATCAGTTCCCATGTAGCATGACGTTGCTTATACGAGTTTAATATCGGTATGTTCCGATGTTGCTGTGCCAACCGTTGTTCGCTTCGCTGATCACTTTGCAAGTGCACTCCGACCTTTACACTCCATTTAGAATAAGATCGCTGTCTTCAAACCCAAAGACGAAGAGCCCTATGGTCACCTGAATCCAAAATGGACCAAATGGATGCACAAACACTGTTGCCCTTGCTGTTTCGGCCGTTCCTGTCTTGTGCCAAACCAAGGCTACCTATCCGAAGCCGGAGCTAGTCTGGTAGACGAACGTCTGCGATTAAATATTGTACCCAAAACTAAAGTAAGCCTCGGTCATGTGATTTGGTATGGTTCATGTGTGCTTTTTATTGCCCTTGTAAGCTCGCTCGTTGAAGCAACAACGCTTCGATTTTTCCCGGGCACGATCAGCTGACAATTTGGTTCATGTGATGCATGTGCACTCGTTTCTTCGCCATCTATTTGTATGCCCGCGCTTTATTCAGTAAGGTACTTGTAGCTTCTCTTCTATTAGTTTTACTACTTTTGTAATTTGTCAGAAATACTGCAGCTCATAGATTAACCATCCAGCTTTCACCTTGTGTTGCTTGCGTACGGTCATATGTAAATGCTAATCGTTTTGTGTGGTAAGCGTAACCTAATAAGTGAACTGTTTTATTCCCTCCACGCACTGAAACTTCCTTTCTCCTCATACAATGTGATGTAAACAATTTTCTCGTGTCCCAAGAGACAAAAGAAAAGTTCGTGTTCTTCGGATGTCGAACAATAACGATCGGTTGGGTTTGCCGCTGTAAACTGTGTTTTTGGTTTCTGCTATTTTGTTTGTTGGATAAAGGATAATTACACTTTGATGGCAACAGTACATATGGGTTCTGTACAAACAGTGTTCAGAAACCAAGTGACGTTAGGCTGAAGATAAAGTTCTACCGCATGGCCATCGACCATTTGAGTTTACGGTATCTGGCGCTATGTGATTTATTTAGTATCTACACAAAACCAGTGAGCTATTAACCGACAAGTTCTTGATTTGGACAAACCCTTGCGTTTCAATTCCCTCGTACGAGGCCTTAACAACGTGACAGTATCTTTAGCCTTCATTAATTTCAAGTTGTAAGGTAACTAAAAGAGTGCTTGGAAATCTCCTGTTTTCTCCCACTTTTCGTGATGCATTTTTGTTTAGTTGGTGGGGTTTGTTATTAAAAGTGACCAAGCTTCTATCGACAATGCGTCTCCGCTTGATACTTATGGTAGAACTGACTATTAGTTCTAAGCCACAGCGCATCCTTCTTTCGTATTGAGTGTAACCCGTGTGTCTTTTACTTCTCTCCTTTTAGATAGTGCGGCTAGTCAGTGAGAGTTTCAATTACAGTCCAGTCGATCGGGCCAAGGCCCGAACCAAGCAGCATGTTGCAACCCGGTTTCCCGAACTAGGTCGTCACTTTACTTGGGTTGGATTGCCTCCAAAAGTAAGCTGACCGTTCGGCTTATCTCAGATGTTTGATTGTCAGTGCTTTGCGATCCGGTGACTTGACATGTTGCCGGGTTCGCTCAAGATGACTATAAAGCACTGATACCCATCTCCCTCTTCTTACCTGCTTCATAAGCCATCTGCATCTTATTTTACAGGCTGGATCCTTCCAGATCTTCGTCCCCCGATGTCGTGATGCAGAATACTGGCTCCGGCGTTTCGACAACGAATCTCTGCCGAAAACCACATCGGAGGAGTTCCAAGTACAATTTGAGAAGTTGGTCATTCTGGACTATGTGATCCGCAATACCGGTACTTTCTCTTACCCTCCCTTTTTTAGAGTCACCGCTGTATCCCGCCAACACTTGGTTTTTTTTAAAGGATGACTGTATAGAATTCTTGAGAGGACTCGAGAAGAATCCTGAAGTTTTCCTATAGAAGGCTGAAAGTGCTCGATTTTCAGCTTGGACGTCCTCTGGCACCTGAATCATAAATAATCGTTCAGCCCTAACTTTTTTTGGTGTTTGGCCACCCGAAGGAAGAATGAGGGCTGAGGTATCGTCATTTAGTCAAGGCCTAGACAGGAGCAGTCGAGATGCAGAGGTTTAGTTTGAACCCGATCTTTCTGGTCAATTAGTTCGCGCCTCAACCATTGAGCTATCTCGGAAGCCAGCGATTGGGCACCCTATCCTGAAGTCGAGTTGTCTTCATATTTCGATAGTGGACCTTCAGGTTGCCTATCTAGTCTTCCTACGAACTTAATCTTACGAGAGTACCAAGGTGTCTTTACGTGAAAGTACCTATAGATTTTGACGAACCGGCAATATTCCGTTTACTCAGTATGGATTCTCTACATTGAATGGATACTGCTGATGAACAGCGACGTTAGCTGAGACTATTTAGGCTGCATTTAATTTTCTGTTTGACTGTAACCTCTCGATCGTCTACAGTTTTTGCATACTTCCCGATCGGAGCTGGTTTCTGTGACCAGAATGATGAACTGGACGGTCACTGTCAACACAGACTCAGAGGTCATAGTCATTGGAACAAAAAACTAGGATATCGTGATGGTGTATGAGTTTCGTTGAACGTGTACTTTATTTTGCTAACAACTCGTCAATGTGACCTGTTTGGGACAGACACGTGACTTGTCGCATTCTCCTCAAAATTCAGTTTACTTTGAGCAAGCGGCTATGATCGTTTATCTGTGTAAAGAATGGAGAATAAAACGAAAGAAACCACACACATGGGCCGGTAGCTTCCTTTTTTCCATTGTCGAATGATCGGTGTGGTGAGGCTTCAAATTTTTGATTGGCAAGAGTCACTCAATGGCTCCGACGCAAGATAGTCATTTTCCATGCCTCACGATTTCATCTTCCTGTCTCGTTTAGAGAAAGATTATTTCGACACAAAATCTTCTCTGCTTCTCCATCAAGTCCCGGTGCGACCGTCCTTGAATCGCTTCCAGTCAGTTCATAGCTGCATGAAATGGGTCCCGTGAAGTACGCGTCCCTTTGGTGTACGAACTACTTATCCTCGTCAAGTTCAACGCATAGGTTGTGGCCAGTTTATCGGTGGACTTTTATGTGATTGGCTTCAGAAGGCGTCCTCCAACATAATCCACTATCTTATGCATTACGAGTTACACGCGGAGGTCTATCGAACCGTCCTAACGACATTAAGTTGTGGATGACGACTCCATCATGTATTTCTCTTAAACAGTGCCTTTTAGTGTGCTGGACTGCCATCTATTTCCAACTAGCACGTACAAGAAACAACGGTTGCATCCAAAAAACAGCCCCCCAAATAAAACCAATTCACTGCGGTTTGAGCCTCTGGTTTGGAATTGGGGCCTTTTTAGAGACCGCCTTTATTCTACTACGATGGCTATTCTGGTTAACCCCAGGACGAAAATCCTTCATTAACCAAGAGTCAAATTCATTTATCGGGTTTATATTCCTACACCATGTGAGGAATATAATTGTTTTCACCGCATACGACCTTGTTCCTGAAGTGCCTGTAGCCTCAAACCAAGCGCGCGAGTTGCTACAAGCAAGTTTAACTAAATGCCTGGTGAGGGCGCTTCAATATGATAAAATCTTAAAGTGGGGGACAGACAACTGGCTGCTGGAGAAGGATGTGTTCGTAATAGTCAAAATATCCCCCCCAATAATAACCAACCTCTGACTAAGACAATTTGAACCGCTTTCGAAAGGATCGCAGTTCTTTCTATCAACAGTCGTTTTATTCTGTCCACTTTCCGTCTCTATGTCTAGATCGTGGGAATGATAATTGGCTCATCAGATATGAATCTTCGGATTTAAACGAAGAAGTTTCTCCTGTAAGTTCCCAGTCTTAAGCATTTCATGCCCTTATATTGGATTACATTCGTCCAAGCCCCATGCTTCCTTGCTAGCCTAGTTTTTGCCTTTATCACTTCACTTGTGTTCCATCTTCAGAGGAATAGACAGACCCTCTGGTGAGGGTCAATATGACAAAATCTTAAAGTGGGGACAGACAACTGGCTGCTGGAGAAGGATGTGTTCGTAATAGTCAAAATATCCCCCCCCCAAAAAAAACCAACCTCTGACTAAGACAATTTGAACCGCTTTCGAAAGGATCGCAGTTCTTTCTATCAACAGTCGTTTTATTCTGTCCACTTTCCGTCTCTATGTCTAGATCGTGGGAATGATAATTGGCTCATCAGATATGAATCTTCGGATTTAAACGAAGAAGTTTCTCCTGTAAGTTCCCAGTCTTAAGCATTTCATGCCCTTATATTGGATTACATTCGTCCAAGCCCCATGCTTCCTTGCTAGCCTAGTTTTTGCCTTTATCACTTCACTTGTGTTCCATCTTCAGAGGAATAGACAGACCCTGAAAGCCAGGTATTTTCGTTCTAAGGTTTGGCAGAGTTCACGGTGTGCGGAGACATCAATGATGGTACTTTAGCTTTGCTTTTAATCATCGCCTGAAAATAACTCCACATCGATATTTTACCCTCAGACTGATTTTCACTTTCAGTTCACATCATATGGCGTTTAATTGATGGTTTAGTTTCGTTGATGGTTGACGACATGAAGAAACTAACATATGATGTGTGATGGTTTGTGAACCTCCATAACCTATTGAGCCAAGTCAGAAGCATTCGCTTTTTCTCAAGCCGAGTGACTTGGTGCATAGTAGCTTAACCTTCCGGTTGGGTCTTGGAACAGTTGGTTATTGATTCCTAATTTCCCACTGACGACAGCCACCCTTTGGTCAGGCCCTGATTAAAGATCCTATCGGCCCTCCTGCCAGTGTCTGCATCGTAGTCTTTCTCTATTCGCATGCCTCGTGCCCCACTGATAGTAGCCCTTTTTGGGCTAATCCACGAACAACAAAAGCTCCCTTCACCTTGGACGGCATCGCTCGGTAACCATAAGCACTTTGATTTGTTATTCGAACACCAATATGCCCGATCCGCCTGATGTCATTAGCGTTCTGACTCAAGGAAGCTGGACGTCATGTTGTTTTCGTTCTTTTCAGACTCGTTATTTGAAATACGCATCCAAGTATGACTATCGAGTTGACTATCTCGTCGGTTTCCTTTCACTTGTTGTGTGCCTCCGTCTAACCAGAAACTACTGAAGGTGGCTCAGGTGGGGGGGGGTCACTGTCTTGAGTCACTGAGTGGAAAGATGTATACTTGACTGGATGCCATCAGTAGTCACTCCGGAGCCGTGTATTTGAAAAAATCCGTAAAATTCTGTGGCAACCGAACCGCTCATCACATTCGCCTACTCCTCAACAAACTGGTTATGAGACCGTCAAAGATAGATTTTATGGCGGCTTAAATTGTGCTAGCCTACCCCGAATTCTGTGGTGCCTACATCCCGAAGCGCTCAATCAGACAACCTGGAAAGGAACTGACAGCACAAACGCCACTGACGTTGATTGGCCGTTAATGCTTGAAACGTCTGTAGCCAATTTAGTGGGGTTACGGGGGCCTCATCCTTGAAGGTAAACCGCACAAACGACACCCAAACACTTTCGCACTCCTTCGTCAAGCCACAGTTTGTCCACCTCGCGGTGAGCGAAACATTCAATGACAAAATTGGCTCGCTCATTTCGAGTGTGGATCGCATGATACACAGGGTTAATTCTGTACGTTGTGATATTCTATGGAATCCGCAGACAGCGGACTTCGGACAATCGTCCGATACTACTTATTTTAGAAACAAAAGGAACTTCATTGAATACCTCTTGAACGAAGCGTATGTGCTGTACATTATGCAAAAGACTATTTGCGTGCCATTTGGAATCAATCCATCGAGTCTTCACCTTCAGTAACTTCATGCTTGTGGGCTCAGAAGAAGGCTTTCTTCTGAAGATTGTAGATTATCTGGCTGGTAACGCATAGAATTTCGCCTCTCCTATGACCCGTTTCCGATAGGTTTTTAGGAGGATATCCTGAACAATGAATTATTAGGTGTTTCAATGGTTAGAGCGCGAATCTACTGACCGGAAGGTTCGTGGTTCGAACCCGACCTCTGTACCTCGACTTTTCCTGTCTAGGCCTGGGCAACCTGGCAGTATCCTAGCCCTCGTGCTTCCTTCTGGTGGCATGGCAGCTAGACAACCACTGAACAATTCTTTTCACTTCCTCTTCAAAGGTCGTGCAAGTAGTTTGACCGCCCAAGTCTACGGCAATCATTCAGGTGCTTTCGCAGCGTACCAATGAATGTCTTAATGGCTTGGTTCTAAACACATTGATGGAGTTTCCTATGATCGGTTCACCCGGGTTGCTTGTGTAGTGGTGCGGCATTGATGCCGCACATTCTGAACGCTTGTTTAGAGGTACAGATTTAAGGATTGATTGGGCGCAGATCCTATTAGAGCCTCATGTCAAAGTGTAGCAGCGCTACTGCTTACGTCACTTCACGTACACTGTTCTTGTCAGTACGGTCGGAAAATCGATATCTGTCATAACTGCTCTCATAAACTCATATGATGTAATAAAGGTCCCTCAAAAACAAGTCTATTGGATTCTGATTCGTTAGAATTTGGTAAACATGTAACTTACGCCAAACGACAACACATGGCCTATCTTGTTGCACCCATCTGACAAATCCCAACCAAAGCAAAGCTCGTGGTGGATTGCATCTCATGCCCTACCTCTATAACTAACATTCAGTCGAAGGGTTATCACAAGGAGCGTGAAAAGTTTGAAACTACACTTGACTTCTCTCGAGTAATCAAGTTTTCTGGTTGGCTGTCTAAGCACGGCCATGTCCAAAGATATTTCTTACTGACACTGTTTGCCCTCGCCTCCTCCAGTCACTCGCTTGGCTACCGATAACGAGGCAGACCCGATGAATCTTTGAGTAGCTCTTTCGGATAATCATGCCTCTGCTGTGCAGCCACGAAGAATTGGTTCCCATCAAACAAGCTTACATTTTGTAATGTACTACTCATAAGGTTGCTGAAAATCCATCGACAGCCCACGACCGGTTTCGCCCTTCTTGGGGCTCATCAGGTAGGCGCAGTCCCCGGGTTCCCGTCAACCTTATGTTCCCATCAAACAGGCTTACATTTTATTTGGTTTTGTCGAGTGATTCAACTGACTATGCTGTCCAAACACCACATCGTGTTTCGTTTGGAAGGATATGATACTTGCGAGATCCATTCGATTTTTCCACTGACACGCTGCTAGTGCCCCCATGCTTTGCCAAATAATAATACGAAATAAGACTTGAAAATTCGGGGATTGGGCTTATCTGGTAACTCCAAAAAAGGCGAAACTGGCAATGAACTGTGCAAGACTCTTCAGGTGTGCATGTGCATGGCGTCAGACCGGTTTTTACCGCATTATCAGAGGTTGCAGACTCTAGTCTTTTTCGCAATACGTAATGTGTACTATGCTGACTGGTCGTGACAACCATCTGTACAGCGCTCCTGGATTTTTAGTGTAGGCTCGTGTAGCTTGATACCGGATCCATTCGAGGGGCATAGACGTAACAGGTACAAAGGCTTGCTCTTGGCTGTGTGTAGAACCATATTAAGCCTGTATACCTAGTGCAGGAAAATTAAGTTCAGACAGCAAACAGAACGAAGCAACCCTAAAACCACCGGCACATCTAGTTGATGTTCCGTGATTGTCAGATTGGATGGGGGAAATTAAACAGCCGAATCTCACTATACTTCCTGGACTACCCAAGTCGGGACTCATACTCAAAGAAGAGCTGAACTGATTCACTAGCGCTAATAAGGGAGCATGAAATGTGCATGTTGCGACCGTCGTAGGCATTCAGTTCCTTTTGTGGTTTCTTTCTGCGAAATACAGACAACGAACCCCTATTCACTTAACATACTCAGGTGCGGTTCCACCCAATACATCGTCCAACTAGACATAATATCGGTGCCACCCTTAGTTCAGCGAACCGACGTAGCTTAACCAATCCATAGGTTGCATTCTTGGTAAACTATACTTTCCAAATTCCTGATGATGTTCCGTCAATTAGTTCGATGATGAGTAGGTCGAACAACTCTGGGAGGTTTCAAAATACGGTCATTCTAAAACAGCCAAACTACCGAGCATTCACATGCACGCATATTTTTTGCTTTAACATGGTTTCGACATCTAACCCTAATAAGGCAGGTGATGAGTTGGTTGTTGACACTAATATTCACCAAAACACTTAATTAAGACTGTTTAACTTTTTGCGCTCCATCCCTCCCCCCTTCGTTTGCTTAGCAGGATACCACGGATGACTGGGGTTTGGTGAAAATGCCTAAAATCGAAGTATTCGCCATTGACAACGGACTGGCTTTCCCGTTCAAACATCCGGATGAGTGGAGAGCTTGTAAGTGTAACCTGGTGAGGTGACCTTGGTGTGTTGTTTGTAGCCCTTAGCCCTCACTGACGCAACTCATGCACGAAAGGGAAGTTCTGTGGCAGTTAACGATTCTCCTTCAAGTTTCCACTAGTTTGAGTACATGTGGGTAAACTCACACAAAGTGAGATTTTGACCAGGCTAAAAGCACCGTTACAGTCGGAGCAAGAGAAGGCTACTGGTTTTCAGGGGGGAGGCATGATAGGACAACTTCGTAGCGGGGGACTCGAAAGCCTGCAACCAGTTATCTGAGAGATCTGTTGCTTTATGCACTCCCCTATGAGGAAGAAATTTTGGGGTGGGCGACCATCCGTTATGGATTGATTCATCCCAGGGTGGGCCACCAGTATGTGTTTTTCATACGGCACGACCCCATCTTTGGAACTTTTCCGTCTCAATTCGTATTTGCCCCCGCTCGGCTTCCGTATGGACGCAGTATCTTTGGGAGTTTCCACAGCCAGGGAATTCGTTTATCACTCAGTGATCACGTTCAGAGCAGGCACTGCCATCGTTCTCGGCAGTGTGTTCATAGCTCAAACTGTTAAACACGGTAATTCTAGGTGAGAAACCTCGCTTAGGAATGGTCTTTCTCGTCAACACCAGGTTGTTGGCGTGGCGCGCTGTTGTGGAATTCCCAGCGGAGTGGACCTTTCTTTTTGGATCATTGTAATTAATATTCTATCGTTTTTGCAGTCTGCTTAGAACATTGTTACTAAGCTATAAAGGACTGTCACACTGTGTGGAACCTGACTGGTACACACCCACAAACTTGGGATGCCGCCTCGAAACGCGACCGTTGCACCTGATCGAAAAAGGATGCTTTGGAACGGGAGGTTCTTGAGGCTAGCACCTCAAGTCTGATTGTCTTGTCTACCTTGTTAGGTCTTAGTGCAATCTGTTTTTTAACCGCAATACCATCGGATTGTCGAACGGCTAGTGCAGTAGATATGCATTCTCTACAACTGAGTGCTGCGAGGTTGAACATCTTTCACGTGATTCGCAGTGACGCCTATCGATTTTAGATACTTCTGCTTGCAGACAGAACCATCAAGTTCTTCAGTTTGTCTAACAAATCGGTATAGATACGTCCGTATGGTATTGCTCTGGTGTTCGGTTGTATCCAAGTCTGGTCCATCAGGCGGACTGGTGTTCGTGTTTGGCGCATTGTTTGTGCTATCATGAAAGTTTTGTCAACAATTCTAATCTGTCGTGCGGTCAGTCTAGTGAACAATTTGTTTACTGTGAACCGTAGGCTTCCTGATCTCACCGATTTTTTGGATGCCATGAGGTGACCACGAATTTATGTCATGTGCGTTCTCTTTTTAATGCATATAGCAACAAGTTCAGTAGGTTCATTTACTGAAATCGATAAGCCGTTTGAAGCCACTAGCCCCCCACCCCACCCCCGTCGGTGAATCTCTGTATTCAAACCAGTAAAATTACCCAATGCGTTTCGCTCTTCCCCCCCTGTGGTGAATCTCTGTATTCAACCCAGAAAAATTACCCAATGCGTTTCGCTATTTGGGTTAACAGCAAAACATGGGCTCCTGATTGGGTCGTGTTCGAATTCGCTCTACCCTTGCCAGCTTGGTCCAGACACAACGTACAATTTTGTCGAAGGCTGTTCATTTGAGAAGCTCTCTATTTATCCTTTGTGGATGAATTGTTGTACACACTGGATTGAAAACGAACAAGCGTTTCAATCACCTGATGCCACTTTGTGTCCCACTTCACTCATGAGTGTTGGTACCTCGTTCTGTGTGTGTTCGTCCCCGGCTCGCTCTGCGTACAACTTCTTGACGGCTATTCAAGTTTTCAGCTTATCTGGCATCTGCTTGGATAGTTATATCTTCACCAATTGCATTTCTCGCTTTTTTCGCCACAGATCCGTTTCACTGGGCCTGGCTCCCAATGGCGAAAAGGCCGTTCTCGGAGACAATCAAACAAACCATCCTTCCTCTCATCTCCGATACTCATTTTGTAAATAGACTGGTTGATGATTTGTATGATCTGTTCAAGGTATGTAACGTTATTTATGTTCACCACCCACACCACCGTCAGCACACTTTTACCTCCTACTTATCGATCGGTATCAACACTCATTTGTGAGATGCAAAAATGTGTGGAAACTTTTTGTGCCATGGCGTACACGATTAACTTCAAATGAAAAAAAGCTCAGTCACTTTTTTCATACAAAGACAGATTGTGTGATCGGGTGGAACTTGGACTAGTTTACTGTCATGTATCTCGCTTGACCTCTTTGTTAATAGTCTGTTTTGATCTCGTAAAACCGTAGGGTAGGTACTATTCGCCAAAAAAACGCACATAGACCTTTCACCGCCGGTGTGTGAAGCTGGGTTGATCATTTCAGCGAAGAATCGATTACATATCTCCATGGGAAGCCTTTTGCAACCTTGCCGCATCAGAGTAATGTATACTTGCGGGGTACTGAACACAGCGCATTTGCCTCCATCGTGTGCACCGGAATATCCTACTTCACTTCGTAGCACCTAGCCAAATTTTCCCTTTCGGGATTACACCGTAGCAAGGCACCTAACAGTCGCTCAGCTGTGGCACCCAATACCTAGCTGCCATGCCAGCCGAAGGAAGCACGAGGGCTGAGATACTGCCAGCTGACCCAAGTCTAGACAGGGAAAGTCGAGATGCAGAGGTCGGGTTTGAACCACGAACCTTCCGGTCAGTAAATTCGCGCTCTAACCACTTGGTCTATCTCGTCCCCAAGGCACCTAACAGATAACCTATGTGTCACTTGGCTAAGCTCGGGCGTCTGTACTTGGCTAGCTTTGCTGCTGTGGTGAGTCGCTGGAGCTTGAGTACCCCAATTAAACCTTCATCCTCTTGAACTTTGCCCTTCCAAGGTCTACTGATTTTTTTAGCACTTGTCCACTGAAACCTACGTAGCCATCGACTCACTACTCATGGTGGACCTATAGCTAGTGCACTCAATATTCAATGATTCCTTTCAAAAAAGTTCGAAAACTGGCACGTAGGATAGAATAATGGTAAAACCATGGTTAAATAAGGTGGACGATCATATATGTTCGATTCCCCGTAGCAACGTGCGATTCATCTTCACCCCTCTCCCTGCCGTGAACGGCCTGTGTTGTTTTTTTTTGGCGAATAGCGGGCCAAAGAGGTTCATCACGTGCCGCGATCGATCGTCCCGATCAAGGTCACTGTACTCTGGTACTAATCGCCAAAAAAACGCACGTAGGACTTGTTCGCTCCGTATTTTCGAAAACGCAAGTTAGAAGTGTATGTCGGGACACTGTACTGATAGGTCACTCGTCAAGTATCGGACACTTCAAGGTTGTACGCACTTTCGAAATACCAGAAAAACTATTCAAATCAAGCACCTCGTGACAGTCTAGTGCGAAGCTGTCTGTCAAATCCCATCGTCTTACCTGATTTAGGTGCCCGGCCACCGTTACCTGCACGCTGGTGTAGCTGGGTGTCACATCGAGAGCACACACTGATCCGCTTTGGAATGATCAGTTAAAGCATATGAATGACATTTTGATGTGTATCAGGCGGTTACTGTTTGCTTTCCTCGCCTTTTAGTTTCATTAACCTGAATATTTCATGACAACCGCAATCCAACGGTTATGACGCTTATTCTATCTGTTGAGTCGGAATGCCAAAGGCGTTGAGAGGATGTTCGTGTCTTTTAGTGTGGGCCATTGTTCTGCTCTATTGATCATTGGATTTAACAACCACAGTCGAACGGAATAAAGGAAATCTGATGCGGTCAGTGGATAGCGTGTGAGAACCACGTGGATTGCAATTGCGGTGCCGCGTTAACAACCAATACCGGTCAATAGGCTCGGATGCTTGTGCCTAATCGGCTCCGACAACCCGATCTCAGGATAAGTCAGTATAAACCATTGCTTAAAGAAGAAAGCAACAGACTTCGGCTACATTAATTCGCAGGACCGTTCAGACGAGGGTGGTGTGAGTGTGAATTCCACAAACCCTTCAATTAGTGAAAACGCCATGGACTTATTCAGTGTTCAGATTATTGAATATGCGAACGAGAGGATGATTTTGACTGGTCCATTGGATGTTCTTTCTGAGGACCGTGCTTTCAGTTTCTCGTCTGACAACTTATGTGAAGCATAGTGCATGCATGTCATAGAAAGCACACGAACGTTTCATGAATAATGAGGACGTCTTTAACTGGTACTAGCTTCGGAAAGCTGCTCCATGGTTCTCAGGGTGTTATCCAAAGGTAGAGTTTGCAGTCACTGGGTCGATCATAATTGCCATGCTTCTGAGCTAATCACGGACCAGTTTGGTTACTCGGTGTTCCGCTTCTGTTCATTCCATTCCATCTTAGATTGACCCGGGTTTCGATATGTCGACCTTCGAGAAGCAAATGTCCGTACTTCGCGGACAGGTAAGTTCCATTCTTGCTGGTTTACTTTATCCTGTTACCTGCTCCCAGTGGTTCCCAGTTCTGAATGAACAACCTAGTCATATCCAAATTTGTGGACTAATTTTGAGAGGATGTCACATTTTTAACACTCTTGGTTTCCCTCCATTAGCTTGGCATCCCTTGGCTGCAGTTGTAGGCGAGACATCCAAGTGGGTCTCTCTACATACATTCAGCACGGCTCACTTCCAGTATAATAAGAATCGGTCCCTGTTTCTCAGGCGCTGAAGCAAACGTGTCAGACGTAAGCAGAACCAATTTCATTCGCATTTCATAACACGTTAAACCAGCTCGAAACTTTGGGACTGGACCCAGTTACGTTGATCTTCACCGCCATGGTCGAAATTGCTGTGTTGCTCCGGGTTACTAAGTTGGAAGTTCACCCCTGCCCTTACATGAGTTAATCTGCGTTTGGTGGATATAACCTGAATACCATACATGTTATAGCCGTACTAGTGGGCCCCAGTTACCCGTTTATGACTCGCTAAAGTAGGCTTTAGGTGACAGGATCATAGGATCGGATATACTAAATAAGAGCTTTTCAGTTTCCTGAATCTCAGTGTTCCCGCTCTGTTCCATTTCGTCCATCTGTCTGGTTAAGTTTTCTCCCACCAAGTCGTATCCACGGGCATCGTGCTTCCCTCCGGCGTAACATAGCCTGTGGCCCCAGCCTGCGTTTTCCCAACCTATTGGAAGAATGTGGTGCTTGTTTCTGCTTTTTCTTGACTCGCTGCCTAATTTGCGCACGTCCTTGGGATAGATGCTCCATTGTTGAAGCTCGGCCCGAATAACCCACTCGCCACCAAAGGTACTAATGATTTTCATCTGGTTGCTTGTTTCTTCCATTTCCGCTGGTCTTCTGATAGGATCGGTTGGAATTTTCCAACCCCCTTCTCCCCAATTGAACTGTTGACACACTGGCTCATCAGTTGACACTGTAGCCCGAATCGCCTTGCTGTCACATCCAGACTTAATATTAAGTGGTTCGATTACATTCTTTAGTCCTAGGTCTACACAGACGTCTTTGTTGACCTGGACATAAGGATGCTACTCAGCTCGCTTTCTGCCGAAGGCCTTGAACATCATACGCGTCATCTACCACTAGATTACTTCATGTTCCAGTGTGCCACCTTATCCCCTTGTTCGATAGATGAACTGATCACATTGCATAGGTTGCGCTGGCTTAGCCACGTGCTGCGTACGCCAGTCGACCGACTTCCTCGAAGGGATCTTTTCGCACATCCACGTGAAGGGTGGAATAGAGCCAGAGGCCGTCAAACAATGACTTGGCAGCGAAGTGTGAAAGCCATTACCACCAGCAAACTCAGCTGCGCCGGTCATTGACGTCTTCCTGGATGGGGACACCGAGACCGGCCACATCAATGGTTAGAGACATCGTCGGACATGACCCAGTCACACCCTCAATGGCGCTCATGCATCCAAACTGTTTCCTCCAATGCATAGCTCCCTTCCCATTTAATAACCCGCTTACAGTGCCGTATTTACGCACTAATGTATGATCTCCCGCCTCCAATGCGCAGCTACCTACCCCACCTCCCCGAATCATCGGTGAACGAAATTGTGGCAGCTACAACCACTGTACGACAAGTACGCGGTTACCACAACTGACAGTGATGATGATATCTTTGCTTGTCAAACATCTCCCGACATCACCCCTTCTAATAAGTTGTAATCTCTGTCCCCCATATCCGAGATAGCTTTGACAACGTGAGTTTCCCGGTCCCCTACTTGAAATATGTCAAACTGACGGGACACTTCTGGATAGAAACTGACAACAAGAACGCCACTAAAATCGGTTAGTAGCCATATCTTGTAGTGTCTCCAACCAGGCACAATGAGGATCACGCGCTTCATATCCTAGAAGGCGAGTGGCACCGACAGCAGCCAAAATGGTCACATGGGTAGTAACCACTTCTCAAAAATGCTGGTTAAATGATATTGTCTTGGTTCTGCTGACCCCTTATTTTCTTACGCCCAATGCCCATTTCTTAGTTTACCCACTAGTATCTTTTTTATTTCTTTTGTTGGGTCTGCATCAATTTGCCGACCTGTAAACAACCCTTCCACCTATCAGGCACGTATTTTACGTTGTACGTAAGCGACTTCTCTTTCTGCCTTTTTACATCTAGATAATCAATTTAACCGCTGCCCTGCGTGATTCCAAAAGCCCTCATGATCTAGTTCGCATGCCTGTTCTGACGCTAGAGCGCCATGCCAGACGACAACGCCCTCGCTGGCCACATCAACGATTAGCCGCTGGTCTGGCTCGACAACGCCGAGTCTCGCGTTCGCGTACGGCTCACATGAGTTCTAATCCCGACCCATCAACTCTCCTTCCGGTTGATAGACCTCCACTGTCATCCCAACAGTCCCCTGAAGACGCACGAAGTCCTCAACAGCCATTTGAAGCCGACTTTCTCAGCGCTGGTGACTTGGGAACAACCAGTCTCAACGGGTCAACGCTAGATCAGTCATTATTGCATGGATTGGTCGCCCTACCCATATCCAATCAGCAACGGGTTAGCAAGCCAATAAACGAACAAGGAGTAGCCGGCGATGCAACAGATTCTACACTGCTTTGTGATTCAAGCGAACATAGCGACGAGGAACGCTTCAAACTACAGTACCGCAAGAAACCATTCTTCAGGCGATTCTGATCCTTTGATGGACACCTAAGTTTCCGTATCTGTACAGTGATTCCGGAGTCATTCCAGGATTTGTTATCCAGTCCCTTCAGTCGTCTTTCAAATGTCAGTCAACTCTTTCTACTTGCAAATGAATCATGGAGACATTGATGAAATCAGCATCAACATCGAAGCCACCATTTGTACGGATACATTACGTTGACTTAATGTTCAGTCATTGATTTTGTTTCCTCTACCTGGTGGTTGATCGCTTCAACGAGTTCCTTATTATCCTTATCCTACCAATGTGGACCCTATCACAAGTATCGATCCATCAGCTTAATTCCTCGACGAACCGAATCGTTTATGCGCACAGTTGTTCAAGTCGTTTGTGTCTTTTGTCTTCAAGTCTGTTCATTTCCACCAGTACAGTACTGACTTCGGTTGTTTTTTTTCGAAAAAGTGTATGTTTCAGATTCCCCTTATGTTTTTAAATGTCCTCTACAGGTAGGTCGCTGTTAGATCTACGACCAATGCAATCAAAACTGAATTTGTAAGATGTGGAGAAAGCACATGATCTGTTTTGTGAATTTGAATTCTTGTAGCTTCTGGGAAATCTGCGGCACATTCTCGAGTGTACCAGGTTATCTCCCCAGCCGCCTTCACGCCGTGATTCCTGTCTTACCTGTCTTAGTTGGACCCTTTACCCTTGATAGTCTTGAAGGCTATGTTCGGCAGCGCCAACGTCGCAGGCCGAGGATAAGATTCGCGATCAAGGAACCTAGGTGAGATTCAGGCGAACTACATTTCGGAATGCAATGCAAATCCGGTCCTCTGAAAAAGCATCCGATAAAAGCCTAATAGAACAAGTAGAAACCTACCATTTGGACCAAATTCAGACTCGGAATTTCAGTTACGGCAGCTTAGTTATATGGCGGTTAGTGTCTTTTGTGTCAGAGAAGAATTGAATTGACACAGAGAGTTACAAAGCCTGTCGTCGCTAGCCTTGTTTATGGTCATCGCACGATAACGCCGTTAAGGCAAACCACTGACGTTCATGCTTGTAGTTCCTCCAAATTATCTGATAATTTCTAGATTCGGGTATCTCGGTTATTGTAGGTCGATCACTAAACCATTTCAAAGAAGGCCACCCTTCTCTAGACCGAATTTAGGCTCGCACGATTCAGTTGGTTATACGGTCCGAAGCCATAAGAGCGGCCGTGGAAATTTTACATTCCATTAGTGAGATCCACATTTCAAGATATGGTCGGACTAAGGCTCCTCGCTTGTGGCTTATAGCCCCGTAGTATTCATATCGGGTCGAGGTTATTTCTCGGCTTGGCCTACGTGCTGGATTTTGTCAGGAAGTCTGACTACTTCAGAGCAGCCTAATGCCATTCGTAGTTGGTTCTCAAGTAATCAGAGTTATTAACAGATTTCAGAAATCAGTATGATTCGTGTCACTGTTGTTAGAAGCAGCTTGGCGCTACCGGAAACGGTGAAGGCGGTCAACCAGTGAGTGCAACCAACCCTTCTACATCCATGTGACGTAGCCAAATCAGGGTGTAACGCGCAGTGGATTGTTTTCTAGGACCGATCACATCCCGTTCTGCATCGACATAGGTTCCGATCTTGAGTGAGTGGCCATACTTTGAAGTTTAACATCCCTAGGGTTTCGTGATGTTTCAGCTCTAGACCGCTTCATCTTTTCCTATACTCGCACTGGAACCTTTCAAAATGAACGTCGATGCGCCAGTGTCTGTGATTCACTTGGTAATGAGCTAACGCAAATGATCGAGTTAACTAGCAATGCCGGAAGTCACTTTTTTGGCTTGAACCATCAGCTTCTGACGAATTGGAAACTTCAAACTGAAATAGAGACAATAAAGGATGGGGGGTGCTCGGGGCTCGTTTGTCATTTCCAAGCTCACAGACTGTTGTTCATAAATTTTCACTTTGATGGTGTTTTACCGGATTCCAGTGATATTAGCTGTTCATCACCACCGTTGCTCCACTGACTTCCAACCATAATATTGTAGTTTAGGAAAGACTTATAAAGAAAACGTGGGACAAAAAGTGGATGGAGTTACGTATACTGTGCTTATTTTGTCAGGCGTTCCTTCAGTTTGAAGGTACCTTTGTGTGTGTTAGCCCTACCTGACTGCTATCTAATCAAGTTCCATGATACTTGTACGGGATGATAGGTTGTAATGTCTCATCCACGACAGCGTCCACCCCTAATCGTGTACAGTAACGCTTCCGTGTGGATCATGTTTCCAAAGCGATATCCTATTTTCCTACTGTGCATTTTTATCACGAGGGAGTGACCCATCCATTCTGGTCGGAAGTTCTCTTCTGTACACAGCTTAGCCAATTGTGGGAACTGCAGCGTGATCTGTCGACGAGAGTTACGCTTTGACAGATGGGCTAAAGAACGTCCTCAAAGTAGAAATTCCACACCAGGTGTACGGTATTCCGCCGTCTACGGCGAAAACTCTGTACTGCTACTAGTTGAGTGCGATCGATTGAGAGACTTGTAAGCTATAGGTGTTGTAACCCTCTTGTGAAAAATTCTTCTTTGAAATATCTCAAAAAGAATTTCAGTGTGTCGACTAGGAGTGGCCACAATAGCGTGTTTCAGTGCAGCAACTGAGAATCCGCATATCTGAATGTTACAAGTCTCGAATCGTGATGTGACCCTTACCAGATCCTCTCGCTTCATGACTTTTTGAGTGAGAAAAGTCAAGGTCTACTGCACTGCTCAAACTCACGTAGCCACTGCTCGTTTTCTTCCCTGATCCCGAGGTGACGATACCAATTTCTGACCTATTGTTTGTTCAAATGGGAAGCTATCCTTTAGCATTTTTTTACTGGTGAACTAACGCGTGTACACAGATTTCACGGTGGGGCAGGTAGCCAATTTGAAGGGGCCCATGCTGAGATTCGAACCCGGGTTGTTGGAACAGAATCCCATGGTGTTAACCACTGAGCTACTCGGGCCCAATTAGCGGTTTGTCCCCTTTCCCACCTACCATTGAAAGGTAAGATGCGTTCGAATGAGGGGCTCTAACGGATCGGCACAGACAAAACGCTTTTGCTTCGAAACAATCAAACATCAAAGCTGCATACATGGGGGGATTCTGTCTTCTTCCAAAGGAGGCAGATCTTTTTTCAGCACAACTTGCTCATTCGGTTCCGGTCGAAAATACGAAACTATTTTTGGCCTTTCCTGAAGCTCAACGTCACCGGGGACGCTGGGAATTTCAGCGCATTTGGCAGTCACTAGTAGCATTTCTATTTCTTTCTCACCATCCACCACCTTATTGATCTTCATCGGAAAAGTTCCAAGGAATCCACAGTAGCGCTTGCGTATGTTATTCCCTTGCAGTCAGTTCTGTGTCAGAAATTGTTGCGTAGCATTTCGCGTGATGGTGTGCTGTCGGTGACGTCGTATTCCAGATCCTTCAAAATCTTCAATTTGTCATCTCGTTAGAAGTAGCAGAATCACGAACTTTGTACTTCGCTTGACCAAGTGTTCATATATGACTGACGAACCGTGCACCTCTTCATTCCAATAGTGTGTGAAATGACTTTTGCATGATTATGGTATTGTACTCTGACAAGCGAAAAAAACTCGAGGTTTCGTCTGTCGGTATAGTGTTATGCCACACAGTTCCGTATTCATTGTCCATCAAAGAAACAATGGATGTTCACTCCCCATCTTGATAGTCGTGGTTTTTGAATTGCACCGCGAATCAGTCCGTAGACAAGGGTATCTGTGAGACCATATGCAGTCTTTTATTCACCAATCTGTTTTGTGGACACTATGGGGTTACTCTGGATTTTCTAATGAGATTTTGTGAAATTAGTTTATGTACAGCCATTCCGTTCTGAATTGGAATCATCAGCAGTACGCATCTCACGAGTATCTCAGGGGATTCAAGTACGCTACCTCTCGCCTAGTAACTGAGTGCAATACCTTCCAGAAACGTGCGGATGATCAGAAATGTGATTAACTCGCAACTGGGGTGTCTTTTCAGTGTGCAACTGTCTTCCAGACCACTACAAATGAGTTATGATAATACAGTCGGCAAGTCAAGGCTGTATTCAACCCATGTATCGTATCTAAACCTCAGTGCTAGCCGCGCATCGCTTTTGCTCCGTTAAGGTCTACGCTAATCACCCGTTTAGCTGCTACCTAGCTAGAGTGATAATAAAAGTGTCTATCAGTTTTCCCTCACTGAACGGTCATGGATGCACACGTAATACCAAAGTTAAATGGTATGCGAACGAATAAGCGACAAGGTCTGAGAACTAACGCATGATGTATTCAGGTTTAATCTAAACTGGAGTAAGGGTACTTAGCCTGTCTGATGGTTTTGATTTCGCTGTAGCGCGAAACTTTGCTAGCCCACCGATTGTTTGTGCGCCATCTCTCCGTCCCTCATCGATTTGCCGTTGGTTATGCAATCCTATGAACATATCGTAGTGGGTTTCAAGGCCACAGTGGTATGCTCGGCGTAAATAAGTCTAGTTCATTTATTCTGTTCGTAATTCATCCAGTTTTGTGTTCTCATCCGAAGTTCGCTACTGAGAAGATTTGACTCAATCACCGGTCGTCTGGAGATGTGCACTCATTGATGAGTGCTCTTCGAAAAGGGTGATTTTATCAACCCAGAAGCTTAGGGTGTGGCAGTAAATGTTACATACCCCGGGCCAACAGCCCGCAAATCAATCAATCTAACTTATCAGCGATAAACCATTGGTTCCAGTTACTGCAGTTTCGATCACCGGAAAACAGGAAAGTGTGAGGCATACATCCAAGCCTTGGATGCGATTGCACATCTGGCTGGTTCGGGAAGTGGGTAGCTACGCATTGAACGCACTAGCTTTGGCGCATGAGCGCCATCGACTGCGCGATTGGGCCATTTCCGGCAATGTCATTAATCACTGGTGATTTGAGTCCGGGGGTCCCCATCCAGGTAGGCATCAGCCTGTAATACCGCCAGCTGCAACTCGTGTAGAGGTAATAAAATGATTCGGATTGCCACGTAATCTCTTTTGTATTCTATTAGTTTTACCAACGCGCCATTCGGTTTCTTTGAAAAATGGGAAATTTTGGCCCTAGACATGCGCTCCTTATCATGAGGTAGTCATTTAGATATTGCCCGTATTTACGCCAATGTGCCCTTTTAAGTCCGTTTTTTAATCCGTTACTGACTAGATCGAAGAAAAGAAGCCGTTTGGGAGATAAAACTCTCATGCTTTTAGGTAATAGCTGTAACTAACCAGAAACTTATCATAACCTTACCCTTCACCGACATGCATTACGAGAAATTGTGATCCAATCAAGGTATGTTGTTTTTATGGAATGCCTTCGCAAATAATACACCAACAAGATAAAATGCTAATAAACCTCACTTTTTAGCCCACTAACCTTGTATTCTGTTTGTGACTTCGCCTAGCTGAATTGAAATTCTTGTCTGTGAAAGGGTTACAATGCACTGAGAATGCAGGAGCGTTCACATACTGCTTCCTGAATTTGTGTTCGAAGATCATGTACGTCTCAGTCTGTAGGCCCTGAATTTAACCTGTGGGATAGATTGGTTTGCCCTGGAATAACTCTCCAATCCTCAGGGTACGATGCATGTGAATCTGCTCTGAGTAATAACTTTTATCAAGTAGGTCATGTTTGCAGGACTATTACAGTACGAGCGTTCTGATAAGTTAAGCGTGAAAAAAGTGCTCAGACGTCCTATTCGGAAACCGGACTGTACTTTCCATTGGCAACAGTGAGCGTAAGGTGAAGGTCAACCCTCGTATTGTCGTGTTGTTTATGACTTCATGGCGTGTGACAAGTAACTGACACTTTTGGCCTAGATGGAGATTCACTTTTGATGCTTTACCATAGAAAATATCCTCTGTGTGTATAATCTGAGAGTGATAAAGCAAACAGACCGAAGGAAGGGTGAACGGTGGATGGCAGGTAGCTTCTAAGACCACGGACAGTCCAATAGTACCTGACTTTGTAAGGTTTGATGAAGAACTTGGACATTTAGTAGCAGTACGGCCGTGCATCAGCCTACTGCGTAACAGAACAATCATGTGGTGAAACAGTACACTGCGAGTATGTCCACACGTCCGAATCACATCCGATTTCATCATGGGCCGGAGCAAGGGTCAAGAAGTACACATGCACTTCACGCCCACCCGATGGCCAAGGCAAGCGCACAGACGGCCAGCGAGACAAAGAAATCAACCGCTCGAGAGCCGGTGTGGGCGTGCACGACACATTGGTTGGTTGAGAGCAGATCGACCATCAAATACGGTCACAAGTGAATGATATAAATAGAACGCTGTATTTACATTTTTCTGGCCGCCTTCTGTTCTTCTGACTGTAGCCCGGTTGCATCAGGGAAGGTGAATAGATGCAACAAGCAGCATGGCGTATTTAGTGCCCGTTGTGCGAGAAATATACCTTGAACAGGATCAAGTAGGGCGAGCATCCTAAGCAACGTAAACAAACAAAAGACTTTCTATCGATTCAAGAGCCGGTCGTTCTTCACATACAACTGAGAATCTGAGTGATCTTTCCAACTAGAGATGTCCCCTCGGATATAACCGCTTTGCTCAGTGCCTTAGTTGGTCCATATTAAGAGAGCCTGGTTGTGTGTTCCATATCGTTGAGAGGCTCACAAGTAAATACCTAGGAGGACGAACTCTCGCACTCCATTCAATGAGGTGGCCGACGTCAAGCTCTATTGTACTCTCTTCAGAGGAGGCTGACCTGGGGGCTACTGTATTCGGGTTACCAAGGTCAGAGAATTTCTCAGAACAGTTTTCTTGTCCCTGGCCCCAAGTAATTATTCAGGCTCCATCCTCTGGGCATCCTACTTTGTATGAGTTCTTGACACTCGTCGCAGTCTCTGATAATCTTAAAGGTCCAGCTGCCTTGTTTCTCATTTCTGAAGCTCACGCTGAGAATGAGGAGTATTCAAGGAAAGCAAATTGGCTTTATAATGTTATTGAACAAGAGGCTCTGGAAAACATTCAGGTCACTGGTTAGTCGCCTTCATTGTAGCATAGTTTTAGCCGAATTCTTACAGCACCAGTTTTCTTGCCGGTTTTGCTAACTTAAACTTGATTACTGCGCGCTTGCAATATATCCTACACATGCACGCCCCCTCCTGTTTCTGATAAGTTTCGCTGTTCTCAGAAAACAGTGAATATCATCGGAGCTTGGCCAGATCACTCGATTCTTTCGGATGGTTGCCTTCTGGGATGCGAGTTGACCAGGGCTTCTTCATAGCGTTGCAAGCACTACCACAAGCTTCGTGCTCATCATTAATCATACTGCATTGTACCAACTGTGGTTTTGACCGGACAAGCAGATAGCCTTATTATCCTAATTTCCACCAAGACAAGCTGCATTCAAAGAAGATGGACGAAAAGTAGCCAAGGATCCAGCAGCTGTTCTCATCATTTCTGACTGTCTGTTGGTTACTCGTAAAGTCAGGTTTATTGTTGAGGAAGCTGATAAGAAACGGAAAATCTGCCCTCATTCTCCAGTTCCCCGCTCCTCTTGACTGTCACCTTCTTACGCAGGCTAAGCAGAACGCAGTCAGACGCTTCGGGCAGTTTGGGTGTAATCCACTGTAAAAGCTCCCCATCTGAGGATAGACAGAATAACTGACCATCAGGGAGTAGAATTTGATCTTTTCTCACTTTATTCAGAGTGGCAGCGAAGTAGCTAGTTGCCAAGGCGATTTTCTGAGGCGATTCTCCGTAGATGAATAGATCACGTACATAAGAGGCTGAATCGGAACCACTATGGAGATCATGGCAATCGCCTAGAATCAACCTAACGTTGAATCTGTCTTCCACGCTCGTCAAATGACATTTAATGGCATAATGGTCCACATCATGACGAAAATCTCGGTACATTGAGGCAGTTTCAGGCAGATCCGCTACCTCTGCCCATTCGGCAAATTGATCTTCTGTCAAGCTTCTTATATCTACGCCGTACAGCTCCAGAAATAACAAACGAGCCACAGGACTTTCTGTCAACTTCAGCTGGAGTTGGTAAACTATAGCTGGGGCTCCTTTTCCTAGGCTGGTACTCGCCGGAAGTATCGTTTCCTCGTAATCACCCACTGGCTGACATTCAGAAAATTCGAAACTGGCAGCCCCGTCTCCGATCACAGCTACACTCTGAGGAGGGTTTGTGACTTGGTAGTCTTTGTGTACACAGAAGCATTGTGAACCTGGTCGATATGCAGCCTGATGATCAAAGTTCACGGATTTACATACTGGAATGAGTTCTGTATGGGTGTCGAGCGAATCTGATTTAACTAAGCCTTTTCCGTTATCCACACTGACAGAATGAAAGGCATACTGCGTGGATGAAGACCCTGAGCCCAAGACATGCAACACTTCGGCGAGACGGAGCATATCTTCACTGATGTGCACTTGTGATGCGACGCTCCTCTTCAGTGGTACTGTTGCATTAGTTTTAGATATATAAGTCAACTGGTGGGATACCGCATACAATCCAGCCGTCACCAACGCAAGTTTTACAGTGACAGGACAAACAAGCAAATCTTCTTTCAAGAGCAGGAAAGTTTCGCTTCTGGACAAGTTCAATGTCTCGTTATATTGATATATACTTTCGGATATTTTTGGAAACTCCATTATGACAGTTAACAACAACTCGTTTTTATCAGCAGTCCCAATCACCCCATGCATACCTTTCCCACGTGGATTCCTTTTTCTTCCGCGTGTTTTCGGTCTGCTACTTCGCGAAATTTGAAGTCCCATTGCGTGGATCTTGTAACTCCGAACTTAGGTGACAACCACGGTCCCTGTTGTCTCCAGTTGATTGGCTGGGATCAAGTGACTGGAAATCACAGCCATTCAAATTTGTCATGTGACGTTTCTGGTGCGTCGATCAATACGTCAAGCCTGAGACCTGGACTTCGGCTACCAGATCCTCAATTGAATGCGAGTCGGGATTGTAGTATCGATCGTCACAACCAGGACGGTTACTGGGTCGTCATTCGATGAGTCGGGCACACCAATCACATCGCTCAAGTGTGAACACGTTTGCCTGTTCAGACGTGATAATTCAGATGCTGCGTTGGTGGAGCAGTGATTACACGCTCGCCTCGTATGTCAGATGTCCGGGGTTCGAATCCCGGCACGGCCATTGGATATGCACTGCTGATGAGCTCTAATAAGAGCAAAACTCGAGTCCAGTGCTTCCCTTTGGTGTGGACTCACCGGAATAATTACGCCAGAACAGGGACACGACCGTTCAAACGAGAGTGGTGTGGCTATGAACAAATATACCTATCCCGCAAAACCCCAAGATTGTAGTATCCTTTGCCGAGATTTGGAAAATCTGGGTACTACTTGTTGAAGCATGTGCTTGAAATGAAGCGGGAGAGCACTGTGACCGATAACGAAGGTTTAACCGGTCCGTATATATCACAAGCCCATCTTTCGGCTTATTTTCATCCAATCGATTGATGCCGAAAAGTAAGGTTGTAGAGTTGAACTCATCCAGGATTACCTATCCATAAGGAGTGTCCAATTTGTTGAACCGAAAACATGTTTTTAGTGCCTCACTTCATATTAGTTTTGTTGGGACCTCTGTTTAGAGTACCATACAGTGCAAACAAACAATAGATCTGAATTCTCCTCAACAATTTATATCCTCTCCAAAACAAATCAACTGCATCTGACCTGAACCAGTACAGTATCGGCCATTATTACTCGGTGGAGGTGAATCACATTTGCGAATACGGGTCCTTACACCCGGAACGGAAGCACAGCGAGATGTACATGGGCTCCATTCTGACCATTGGGACCATGATCCATCCCCTGAAGAAAAGAAATGACATCATCAGTAATGTGTACAGCAGAGTTCTCCTAATGCTATGCGCTACAGAAGTTTTGCTGGTTTTTTTTTTGGGGGGGGGGAAGGTAACACAATCAACCGTGAAAATGTAACGTGGACATCTGCACTACCCTTATTTTACCGAAGGTCACTAACCAGATATATGTTATCTGGAAGCTTCTTTAGTTGGCCTGTGTATGCATTAATATACTCATATAATTCGATATTTTGAGCTAATCAAACCAGAGAACTGTAGATTTCATCGGACTATGGTCCATGGAAGAGGTGACAGTTCATGCATGAGTAACATAACAATTTGTAAGATAAATCTTTTGTTTAGACGTGCACATCACTCCTGCAGCTTTCTAGTGCCTTCTAGTTACTCGCTGCAATTAATGGTCGTTAAAATAATCACTAGATCAACCATTTTCCGTGGCCTACCCGAACGAAAGTTATCAACTTATCTAAATGCCAACACGTCAGGTTCACCGTAAGCGACGATCACTGAAATATCCCCCTGAAAGGGGAATATTTGCTTTCTCCTTGGGAGTGACCTTCATCCCTGGGAAGTTGCGTTTTAAAATGGTTTGTTCTGAAAGCAAAGAAATGGGCCATAGGGACTAGAATCTTGAGTCAGTAAGAATCAAAATGCAGTACAATCTGAATGTCGATTCCGCTATTAAGTCCGACTGAGGTCATTTATTGTCGATAAGCTATTAATTTCATTTCGCCCGCAAATGCGGTAGAATAATGAAGAGTTTTACTCAGGATAATCGGGTTTAATTTGAAGAACTGATGCGTTGCAAAACAGCTGATTGCATGACAAAGGTGGCTTTGGGCTTACCTGCTCCAACAAGGACAGCAGCAGTGCAAGATTCATGGAAGACTTTGCCCCCGCTCTCAGTTTGACTGCTAATACTCAGCTCATAAGTATGACCGATTGGCAGATCTGTCAACTGAGCCACGTACATCTCGCCCCAGGCATCAGTGGCGACAAGACTAACATCCTTGATTTGCGGTTTAGAATGATCAGTGGCGGATGCGGGCTGGACTGCTAACCACCGTATCTGATAGCCTTTGGGAACTGCACCGTAAGGTGTTCGAAACCACCTGATATTAATCAATGGTTGGTCGACGAAAGCCGTGAAATGACAGTCGGTTGGTGGTTCCAATTGTCCGGGAGTGGAGCTGCAATTCTCGTCTATCCAACAATGAACCTGACGTGGCTCACTCAATCCCACAGTTTGATTCGGCATACTGAACTGATCTGCGATCTTCGTTCATATGCGAATGAATAATGCAAAAGCGTCAATCAATTTCGCCCCCTTTCAGGCATGATTGTTACCTCGCCATTTTTTTCATTGAATATAATACACGTTAAGCCTTCATTTGAAGTTTTACAAGATGTATACTTTAATAAAGTTAACCATTTCTTCGTAAACCAGAACTCAGTTGCAAAACGATCCAAAGAAGACTGGCTCCTGTCCCTTCATTCGGTAACGTTGTATCGGATTGTCACCGGTTCGGTTCCTACACAACCCATCACTCTTTTGTTTCCTGGGGCCACCTGATGTCTCTGGTTGCAATTATGCCCATCACTATGTGGTTTACGGCACTATTTGGGTGGATCGTTTGGTGACGTTTATGCTAAGCTCTTGAGGCCCGTGGGTATTCCCATATTTGCGAACTAGAGTGCTTGATTGGAAATTCAATAGTGTGGGAGCGCTATTGGGTCGTGCACATGGCACAGAAGTTTGGGGTACACTGAAGATGCACCAGTCTCCTGCTGTGACTGATCACGAGCACCACTCTTGAAAGATTGAGCCGACAGGCGAGTGGATCAATATGTGGAACAGCCTAGTCAGTTCAACAGTACGATTGACTCTGAAGCCAGTGGTGGTCCACACCTGAGAGAAGACCGTTGGGAACATCACTCACTATCAAGACAATAAACGAGCATATACTGTTGACAACAGGGCCAAATATACAACTGTTGTTGGAGAGTGATAGTGAATTTGATGAACAAATATTTTGAGTAGTTCTGTGTTGTTTGCCTTGTTTTTTCGACCATAAACCACGAAAGGTTAATTAAAGTGATGAACTGATGATAATTCAACTTGTGCTTGTGCATGTGTTGGTTAGCTTACAGACCAAATCGTCACAAAACACTTTAAAAGATTGACGTTGGTTTATGCCATAGCTTTGGCATAACTAGGACACTTTGATCATTACAAAGTGCGTTGGTTTTAGCTTAAAAGTCTTCCTATTTTCTGGTCCGTCTTTTATTGTCGATATTATTATTAAGGGGTTCATGTGCGCCACACAAAATTCCATCAGAAGAAACGACTTGGTTTTTCGATGCGTATATTTTGTGGCTACAAAAATTTCAATCAGTTAACTTTCAGCATCTGCCAGTAAGGGATTGAACCCTCAGAATCAGCTTAACCTTTGACCTAAATGGGGCACAAAGCTGTGTTTAGACAATCAAATGTGTCTTGAAGACCATAAATATCGGTAACCTTTTGACGGAATACATTACTTATGAGCTCATTGAAAGCTCTGGACAGTCCGACGCCGGCTTCGCCCTTCTTGGAGCTCGTCAGGTAGGTGCAGTACCTCAGTTTACCGCGACATTTTGTTCCATCTGCGAGCCGACTTGTACTTAACCGGTGAAATACACTCATTTGCGAGTACAGTTGGTATCAATGAGGTAGTCATCTGAAATTCAAACTAATATAATAATTTCAATAATCGTTCACTTGTAAAAAAATTTCGGCGCTTAGCTGCCGTATCACCCGGGGGGAAGCCCTTGGGTTGAAATTCTGTCTCGTGGCCCAATAGTAGACAGGGGGGTCGAGATGTTGGGGTCTAATTCGAACCACGGACATTCTGGCCAGTGAGTTCACGCCTTAACCATTGAGATTTCTCGATCCGACTCTCCCCTTTATGTCATTCTGCGAAATGTTTTAAGATATTTTGATTATCGCACCAACTGAAATCCATGTGCAGCATATTCATTCGAAGGAAGATATCAACTGGAATTCAGTTGTCTCCCGTTAACAGAAACTCACTTTGCAAATCGTTGTATTCCACCAGCCACACAGTCATCTAACCACAAAACTTCTGACGATGCTGCATCATTCTCTGCTGTAGTTCACTCTGGTCCTGCAGTTGCTACGCTTACCTCGGTTGCTGCCGTAATGATTTCGGCAACGCCGTTTCAGCCCTGTGGCTAACTGTTAAATCGCTTCGCTCGGGTAAGGGGACGCGAGTTCGTAACCCACCAACTTATTGTTTAGATGGTGTTTAGATGGTATATGAATATCAGAAATGAATGAATAGTCAAGGCGAAAAGGGTGAACAACGTGTACACGGGGTTGGTTACTCTACTACGTCACCTGTCTGGCATGAGCTGGTATGCCTGACTGTGTGCGTGCGTGCGTGTGTGTGTGTGTGTATACACACAGCTGATCGGGCGAATATCAGTACTGAAAATTTTTTTCGTCCAGAAAATATGCTGCGATATCTCGAATATCATACTAAATGAAACTTGAGGTGCAGCACATTCACTTGAATAATGCCATAAAGGATAGATTCGGTTGGGTTTTATCTGAGTCTCTCTGTTTAGTCTGCAAATGAGTGAGTGCCTGGTTTGAATCTCTAGAACCTATTTTTCAGACTGACAGCTCTGAATCCCAAACTCCGTTATTTTGTATACATAAACTTTACCATGTACTAAGCGTTGATCGGTTGTGTACATCACCAGTCCTTAATGCACCTTGACAAAAGGGATATTCGAATATCCCAGTGAAAGATTAATGAACCAATAGGTACTAGATTTTGTAGCAAAAAAGTACGTACGTATAAAAAACGACATCTAATACATAATCAGTGCACTGACATTCCAGATGTTTAAGGGCACCATATTGCAAGGACTATGGATAATCATTACTTCGAGTACTAGCCCAGGACTGCGTAATACTGAACCTACATTCAGTGCTGAGGGAAAATTTCAGCCTTGTTTCGGAACCATCTTGATAGTAGTATGAGGGGATTTGGGAATTTTCAGTTGAGATTCCGCTTTGTAGGTGAATTCAACCTACACTAAAAATCAGTAAGCATTGTGAAGCTGTTTTGTCCTTGTTGGGAATCGCCAGCAGTGCACATCTCACGAAACTCCGATGGGGAACCTCCAACCCACGACTTACCAGCCAGTAGTTTGAACATAAACATTCGGCTACAAGCAATTGATCAGCAAGCCGACTATCTCGTACTTACATAGAATGTAGCACCACTAACCCCTTAACCAGAGTCCACTTCACGTGGTCACGTGTGTTGACTGGTTCCTCGAGTGATGAATTCCCTGCTAAGAGATTCTGGCCACATTAGTCTCACCCACAGAACGAAACATCAGTCAGTAATTTAAAAATATTCTCATACTACCATCACTTTGTAAGTAGTTCAGGGAAAAATAGTTTTACGGGATGAGTGAATATTCCATCTTGGATGTCTTCACTCAAACAGCCAGCCGATAAGCATTTTGCAGCTGTTTCGTCCTTGTTTGGAACCATCAGCAGTGCACACCTCATGAGACTCCCATGAGTCTTGATCTCATGACCTATTAGTTTTTCCGTACTTCAAGGATTAATCATCTCTGGAGCCTGATGTCATTTTATCAGCAAAAAGAATAACTTTATAAGGAATGTGAACTGCGCCCTTGCCTGATCCCCTGTCATTCAACTCCTCTTATCAACTGTGGCAAAGAGCTAAATACTGGTAACACTATAACTCTTTCCAGTCAAATTTAAATAATGTTTCACGTCTTTGAACTGTCAATTAGTTTGAAGTCTGGTGACCGTGATGTTTACATTAGTTCACAATGACTTGCATCGAAGGAACGTGCCGTCTTGGTGTGAACTTTTCCAACCCACGTTCTTCATTCAGTTTATGAGAAATTGGTAAGATTGACATGACCGTTATTAACATATTAACATATTAAATAAGTACTAAATTGTACATGCTTTGCTCAGTACTGGTGAGCTTTCGGTTTTCCCTATGACGGTAAACTTTAACCGCAAATGCGACCACAGCTCCATCAGAAACAGCAACGCCCGAGGACTCTGCTCTGGGATACAACATGAGCCGGTCCTATATATGAATATATATATATATATATCACTCTCTTGCGTGTATGTACCAGCAGTGTTGAAAATGGTTTTGGCAAACGAGAAAACTGGCAACCGTTTCATTGTGAAACTAACCTGTAGCGCTATTCCAGGCTCACAGCGGCTCCCTGGTGGTTTTCCTGCCCAGCGCAGTAATAGTTCCCAGGGGAATCCTTCTGCTAAATTGTCGACCTTCGGTATCAAAGGTCTACATGGTTGAACTGTTTTATAAGCAGGTGGATCTGAAATGTGTGCATGTATTCACATCTTACTATTTCGTTTGGGCATCTACCTAAAAAAACAGACCCAAAAAGCAAACAGCATAGCTGCTGCATGAATTAATACTCTTTCAGCGTGAGGGGCCAACATGTGTGCAGTGGATAAAATCGGTTGGTCAAAACATGATGGTTCGGAAATTCAACAAGTCGCTCAAGTATATACCCATCGGTATCAACGTGAAAAATAACGATTTAGCTGTAACACACTTTCATTGCCTAGCTGCCATGCCACCAGAAGGAAGCACGATGGTTGGGATACTGCCAGGTTGCCCAGGCCTAGACAGAAAAAGTCGAGGTACAGAGGTCGGGTTCGAACCACGAACCTTCCGGTCAGTAAATTCGAGCTCAAACCATTGAAATATTCATTACTTCATTGTTCAGGATGTCCCCTTAAAACATATAGGAAACAAGTCATCTGACAGGAGAAATTCTATGCGTTACCAGCCGGATAATCTACAATCTTCAGAAGAAAGCTTTCTCCTGAGCCCACAAGCATGAAGTTACTGAAGGTGAAGACTCGATGGATTGATTCCAAATGGCACGCAAATAGTCTTTTGCATAATGTACAGCACATACGCTTCGTTCAAGAGGTATTCAATGAAGTTCCTTTTGTTTCTAAAATAAGTAGTATCGGACGATTGTCCGAAGTCCGCTGTCTGCGGATTCCATAGAATATCACAACGTACAGAATTAACCCTGTGTATCATGCGATCCACACTCGAAATGAGCGAGCCAATTTTGTCATTGAATGTTTCGCTCACCGCGAGGTGGACAAACTGTGGCTTGACGAAGGAGTGCGAAAGTGTTTGGGTGTCGTTTGTGCGGTTTACCTTCAAGGATGAGGCCCCCGTAACCCCACTAAATTGGCTACAGACGTTTCAAGCATTAACGGCCAATCAACGTCAGTGGCGTTTGTGCTGTCAGTTCCTTTCCAGGTTGTCTGATTGAGCGCTTCGGGATGTAGGCACCACAGAATTCGGGGTAGGCTAGCACAATTTAAGCCGCCATAAAATCTATCTTTGACGGTCTCATAACCAGTTTGTTGAGGAGTAGGCGAATGTGATGAGCGGTTCGGTTGCCACAGAATTTTACGGATTTTTTCAAATACACGGCTCCGGAGTGACTACTGATGGCATCCAGTCAAGTATACATCTTTCCACTCAGTGACTCAAGACAGTGACCCCCCCCCACCTGAGCCACCTTCAGTAGTTTCTGGTTAGACGGAGGCACACAACAAGTGAAAGGAAACCGACGAGATAGTCAACTCGATAGTCATACTTGGATGCGTATTTCAAATAACGAGTCTGAAAAGAACGAAAGCAACATGACGTCCAGCTTCCTTGAGTCAGAACGTTAATGACACCAGGCGGATCGGGCATATTGGTGTTCGAATAACAAATCAAAGTGCTTATGGTTACCGAG